CAGCTTGAGGGTGGATATTCATTTATTACGTTTATAAAATATTTATCCTCAAACTGAAAGTCTGCCATCACAGATCAGCTGTGATGTGTTGAGTAGGCCACCAAACTATGCTTGGAGCTAAACAAATGTACTGTGACACCTGCACCGAAATCAGAATAATACTTTTTATTCAACAGTTTGCAGTCATCTCATAGCAATTCACGTTTTCCACATTTAAGTTCTTTGCGTTATCCTGAGGAAATGATCTTACTTGTTAGCAGGTATCGTAACTACTCCAAAAACAAAAAACAATTAATTTTTTTAGTTATTACAAAATCCTATTAGTTACATTTTCAATAAAATATTATTTTATAAATTAATAATCTGAACTGCTGTTATAAAAATTGTAACTTTTGCACACATACAGTCCTGTGCAAAAGCTCAGGCACACCGCACTCCTTATACTGTAAACAGGAAATAGGTGAAGCGATTTATTAAAACATATGAAAATATACATGGAAATACAATAAATAAGACAAAAAACCTTTTTGTACAATTCTAACGAGCTTGAAAATCAGTATTTGGTATGATCACCTTTATTCTTTCGATGCAGCCTGAACCTGTGCAAGCCTTTGTCTCATTTCTTTAAGTAGTCTGCAGGAATAATTCTGCAGGGTTCTTGAAGAACATTCAAAGATCTTCTTTCGATGTTGGCTACCTTTTGTTCTGTCAAGATGACTCCTCATTGCTTCAGTAATGTTGAGGTCCGGGCTCTGGGGAGGCCGGTCCATGCGAAATGCTTTTACTGCACTGGCAGTGTGTTTAGGCTCATTGTTGCGCTAAACACGAAGCTCCTGCCATTTATAATTTAGTCTATTTTGATTTTGGCTGAAGTGCAGCCTCAAACCATGGCAGCGCCTCCACCATGTATTACAGATAGCTGTAGACACTGTTTCACATCTGTCCCGGCCTCTTGCATACATACTGTACCGACGACAATTTGAACCACAAATGTCAAATTTGGGCTCATGGAGGTTTTATCTCTTCGGTCCAGCTATTGTGTGATGTTGCATACCTCAGCTTCTCCTTGTTTTGCTTATTAACTAGAACTACTCGACACTCTTTTATACTGCCGACACTTTATTCACTTTTAGTCACTTGCTGTTATTTATTCACCTATTCAGTCACTTTAATTTTAAAACTGTGTAATTTTATAACTGTGTATATACTGTATATTCTGTGTATTTATTATCTCACTCTTATTGTTTGTCCTTATCTTCAATGTCATGCTGCTTTGTTGTATCTTAATTACCCCTTGGGGATAAATAAAGTCTTTCTGATTCTGATTATTTAACGATGGCTTCTTGACAGCCATCATCCACTGAGAGCATTTCTGAGGAGGCTTTAGCGAACACTACATGGATCAACTGAAGGGCCAGATGGATCTCAGGGTCTGTGTCAGATCTTTGCTGGATGTTTTCCAGTTTGTCAATAATGTGACTTTCAGATAGTGTTCATCTGCTGTACATAGTTTTTTTTTAGGGCTAACATTTCTTAATTAGTCCTCCATTGTCAGGTTTCCTTAAAATTTGTAAGGATGTAGTGCACAGCATGTCAAGATTGCATTTAATAGCTCTTTAGGAATCAGCTCGTTGAAACTTGTGAGGTACGAGGAAGGGGCTGAAAATGAGTAAACAAACAACAACAAAATAACCCAACAACCTTGAAAGACCTTCAGAAAGCAAGTCCAGCTTCTTGTTAGTTTAAATATAAAGAAATAAAGGCCATTATTTCAGACTCTTGCATGGTACATGTGGATTTTTCCTCCAATCTAAGCCGTTAAGACTCTTTAATCACATTTTATTTACAAGATTTTAACTATGGTGTAACCACAGAAGTGGGTGTGGTGGGGGGCTGCGACTGGCCGCTTTCATCATTCAAATAGCAATCACACATGAAGCAATGCTTCTCCATAACCACGCATATGATTTATGAGCAGTGTTTACTTATGTGGTTCAGCAAAGCATGTCATAGAAAAAACTAATCACTGTTGAGCCACCGTGAACTCAACTGTACAAGAGAACCATTGCTGAAGAGAGTTAAAGCCAGCGGAGGACAGTAAGACAGTTCAGCTCAGCATGAATGGCCATCAGTGCAGCAAAAACAATACCGGCAACAGCAGGCTAGCAGGCCACACAGCTGCTGATTCATACAGTCCCACTGCTTCTATCTTAGCACACAAAAAACAAACAGTCCCTTTGTTGGAGACTGATACGGCTGTGTTCACATCAGCATAAACCGACGTGCTGTGAAGCTATTTGGACTCCACTGAATTCATTTTACTGTGCGTGTAGATCGTTGTGAGACGTTTCTAAGACATGGGCCCACATACACAGATATATTCTGAAGGTTATGATGGTATCCAAAGATATTTACATGGTGCAATCCAACTCAGTTACACTGACACGACAAAAAAGGGCTGACATGGTAACAATGTGTTACAGGTTCAAAGGATAACAAACTTGCAGACCTAATAGTTTATTTCCTGACCTTTTGTCCCCAGTGACGTGATCAAAACTGACACAAACGACTGCAACGTCTGTCCTTCAGAATAAAATAATGGCTTAGAATCCACATTCATACCAACGCTAGTGAATCGTCTGGCCTGAGTGAATGGAAGTAGAGCGTAACAGATGATTAAAAGTTTAAAACCGTGTCTCTGCTGAAAGCCAGAAAATAACCGCAGTCAAAGAAATGCAGGCTCAGCCAGGCATAATAAAAATGCTGGATCATTAAGAGTCATATCGGATCAAGTTGAACAGAAGAAACAACTGCAGCAGGGGCAATTAAGTCATACGTATTAGTTCGATTCAGTGCTTTAACTCCCGAGAGCGATCACAGTTCATGTGCAGGTTAAATTTACTGTGACAGAACCAGCATGACAGATTTGTTGTTCGGTGCTAATAAACTGGCAGTGAGAATGACGGCTGGCTTTCATGGTAAGATGTTAAAGCCTCTTCTGATGGAAAATGACAAATCAAATCAATTCTTCCAGAAATTAGCCAAGACTTCACATTAACCACATCAGCAGCCTGCGTTGCTCAGTTCTCAGATTCAGTGCTGCATTTTGTTATTATCCTTTGGCCTATTATCATAAAAGCAGTTTTACATAAAGCATAGACAACTTGGTATATGGTGACATTGTGCAATACAAGGGGGTAGTGATTATGAACAAGTGACTGCAAACACAAGGTGATTCAATGCTTGGTAATATTTTTGGGTATTTTAGGACTGAGCTCACTTCCTGACCTTAAAGGTGTGGACTTGTAACAGGAGCGGTCCACTGACAGGCAGATTTTATGATCTGAAGCCACCTTCCCTCTTCATACATGTAGTGATAATCACTGAACAAAGTTCACATCAAACTAGGAGTACTGTATTCTTAGCTGCATGTTTGCACAAGCATGCAGTAGGACTGCAAGATAAGGCGATATGTCTAAGCGGATCTTGCCCAGTCATAATTGTAATAATCATTTTGGATCCTTTTTCAGAGTAATTTCAAATGTAAAACTGGATTAGCGAGCCGGGCAAACTTTCAGTCACAAGTGCCAGGTCGGGGTTCTGCAAAGAGTCATCTGGAAGTTTGTTTGGTCACAGATCCCAAGATTTTTTTAATGCATTTGAAATGTTAAGCTGAGATACAAAGTGCACAGAAACCTTCTGAGGAACACCTGAGAGGTGTGTGTACAGGCAGTGTCATATGACTGCCTACTAATTTTTGTTCACTGTGGTTATTTGGAAGAAAAAAAGAAAAAACATGCCCTCCAGCCTGCAGATGGTTACACAACAGGTTGGGTCTTGCCTTTAAACCCTTCATACCTGCTGATCAGCCAGCACAGCAGTGGTGTGTAAACACGGGGCTGTAACGGAGGTGTGCCGAGTGTCACGGCCTGGCCATTCCACGCTTACCCAACCGGACTGAGGAAAACACATCACGGCTATGTGACAACTAAAAAAGTCATAACACTGAGTCATTCCTACCTGCACATGAAAGCCTATTTAATGTTTCTAGTGGTTCCTGTGAAGACATATTAAATATTTAAGAAGTTGGATAAAAAAGTCGCACAAAATAAATAATAAAAATAATAGTTGAGAAATGAATCTCTCAGAGTGGCTTTGGGATTGTAGCCACTAATCATCAAAATGTTCCCTACAATTTAAAAAACAAACCCTCACCTGCTTCTCGTCGCTGCGTGGCGTCCAGACTTCTCGGTTTCCTGCGAAAAGCCACTCTGTTAAAGCTCTCCATTTCCCCCCGAGACTCTGACCGCTCAAGCATTCGGATACTTAAGTGACAGGAATTTCAATCTTCAAGAATAACCACGAAAATGTTGAGCAACGCGATCCCCTCCTCGCTGCAAGTTCACAACCACGTCCAGCTTCGCAGCGCCACTTACAACTGTTTGCCCGGGTCAGTCAGCAGCACTGAAGACGCGCTAGATTTCGGTAAACAGACGTAATAATAATATTCATAAATATAGAAAACCTATGTGAAAGACTTTCGGTTTGATTCAGTGAGTTCCCTCCAATGGCACCTTGATTGGGTGCTTCCCGAGCCGCACCCGCCTCTCCAGTCAGCGGAGCAGAAGCCTGTTTTTTTTAAACCACCTTACAGCGACTTGTGCGGTTTTTATTCCCTCACACACAAAAAACAGAGCAGTGTTGTGTGTGTATATGTACGGTCATTTTAGATCCTTTAAATAGCAACACAGTGTAAAATGGGCTACTCATACAGAACTAAAATAAAAAAGGGGAAAGTGCCCATTACGCAGAATAGGCCATTCATTTTCCTAATTTCGTGATTGCATATCACTTTAATGTCAAGCTAAAGCTAACTTTATTGATAGTTACAACAACAACAACAACAACAACAATAATAATAATAACAACAATAATAATAATAATAAACTAATAATGCATTTTTTAGCTGTTACCTTTTATATATTCTTTTTTTTTATAATAATATGCAATAATACCAGTGGCACTTACTAAACGGCAGACCGCATACTGCATTGGACTCTAGGAAATATTTGTCACCCTTTTAGGCATGACACTGGCTCACACAGATTTTTTCCTATAGTATAATTTAGCATTTTAGGCTATTCTGTGTTGTCTGTAGGAGCACAGGAATACAGGCACCATCATTACAGGAAGTTTCGTGGAGTCTAGTTTTGTGTAGCTCATTAAAAATGGCAAGGCAGAGAAACAGACGCAGAAGCAAAGTCATACAAATCCAAGGGCATCTTTTATTTAGTTGTGAAGCCAATTGAACACCGTTTTAAGTGGTGGAGAAACTTTAAAACCCACCGCAGTACAGCATACTGCTAGCATTCCTTTTTAACCATGTTATATTTTTCCATTTTTAGATTAGTCTCTCTCCATCCATAGCTATGTTGTGCAAACAAACCAAGAGAGTTAGGTCACCGATGAGCCTGCATGAGTGCGGAAGCTACTTTTGGACCACAAATGTTTTCAACGCTCTATAGTTGCAAAAGTAACAATCTAACAATGATAAATCAAACAAATGTACACACACACACACACACACACACACAGCATCCACTCAGTTGTTACTGTTGTAACAGAAGTTCTGTCATTACAAGATTAATACTGACTATGTAGTTTTAATTTATCCCTTCCATATCCATGTGACAAACAACTGTATCTAACATCAGAGACATTATGAGTGTACCAGACAAGTACGGTACAGAAATATGGGACTTCAATTATGCAACAAACTCCACAAACTGCCCATCTCAGTGTTTCAAAAGCAACAATGTCTCAATTTTTACACAGAAAATTGACAATAGTGCTCCTTCATCAAAATCGGCAACACTCCTCCTGCTGTTTTATCATTCTTATCCTGCTGGTTAGTTCATGATGACGGAAATGGTTAAAAGATTTGGTAAATCTTACCCAGATCAGTCTGAAACAGGGGCAACTGTATTGCTCTAATGCATAGTGCAGAATTGTGCTTGAACAGTACTCCATACTGTATGGAGTAAGCATGTAGAGAAAGCTGAACAAGGTGATGTTTTGAGAACAGCGTAAGCTCGGATATGGAAAATGTCAGCATGATTAACATTTTTCTTAATGTCATAATTAGGGGTATTAATGTGAATAATAAAAGTTTTCTGAAGAAAATGGTGAGATTACAATGATGAAGGTGACAGTTACTTAAGAGGAGGCACACCTTTGGGGAATCCTCTGTCCTTAGCTAATGTTAAAAAAGGAGGTCAGTTCACTCCACGGTCACTTAAACCTGTGCAATTCAAAGAGCAAAATAAAAACCTCAGCCCAACAGCCCTAGTCTTGATCTCAAACACCCAACCACTCACCTACCCCGGTCTCTGAGAGACCTGAGCTATGTAACAGACAAACAACACATCACCAGAGTCTGCTGTAAATCATTACAAAAATCAAAGCAAAGGGAGTTATAAAATAGTCCACAAGCATCCAGACTACTGATGATTCAAAACACAATTAAATTCGCCATCATAAAAACAACAACAAAATAAACAACATTCTTATTCTTTGAATCTAGACCTTCATTAGCCTGTTTACAAAAACCATATTTGCTAACACCCCTTTGTAAAAATGATATATGTGAGTTTTTGGGGATTATTGTGCTGGTAAAATCTAATATTTCAATTTCCTTAAGTTTTTCAAAAGAAGACATTCTGCTTTTGTTCGTTTTCGTTTTTTGGGGAAACAAATATACATATACAGTAGTGAATGTGCTAAACTGTTTAAGTCTTCATCACAGCAGGAAAACCGTCTTTGAGCTCCATCTCGCAGAATGACAAAAAAGGAAAACACACAAAAATATACAAGTAATAAATATATCAGAAATAAATAATTGGCAGAGTGAATAAATTATAAATAAATACTAGGAGAAACAGGGCGGCAGATTTCAGTGTGTTGTCACTGGCATTTCTGCCTCAGGTCAGGTCTCTGTTTTGTGTTTCCAGGACAGTAGGTCACTTCCAGAGATGAAGGAAGCATCCTGCTCCTCTTCTACGACCCAGGTAACCAGGAGGTCGGCCACAGCTGGGCAGTGTAGTGCTCAGTGAGATCACAGAGCCCAGTAAGCACCCGGTTGGACTGCTTGGTGGAGGGGAGCTAAACTGAGGGAACCCCCGTCCAGTGTGTCTGTGTCTCTGCAGGACTGCTTCCAGACTGAGGTCTGAGCAGGACCAGCGTGGTTAGGTGCCAGGAGGATGGGGCTGCTGGGCCAGACAGTTACGAGGGTCGCAAGGGGAGAGAAGGCTTCTGCTGCTGGACAGGACTGCTCGGTGTTCCTGGTGGTCTGCCAGAAATTTAGGACTGAAAGGAGGCAAAGACACATGAGAAGAGAATAGTGTGAAAAAGGTTATTCCAAATATAAAATGCAAAAATGGAGCATGAGACGGTTTCCTTCCACATGTAAGCATGAAGAAAAAAACATGCTTAGATGTGGATTAATACCGATACCACTTACATCTGATACCCACTGCAGCATGTTAGCTTAGCTTAGCATAAATACTGGAAACAGCTATTCAGCTTTATCAAAAGCTAGAAAAATTAGTAGTACAGGTTACATCTGAACTTTACAGTTTGCATACTTAAACTCCTTTATTGTATCTATTAAACAAATTCATTTGCTAATGTCGTTCTTTTTCTTTGGCCGTGGCCAGGCCAGCTATTGTTTCCAGGTTTTATGTCAAGCTATTCTAACTAGTGCTAACTAACTGATAGTGACAGCTTCATTTGTGGTGCACAGACAGAGTGGTGTCAGTCTTATTGTTTAAGTTAAGGAACAAAGGAAATATGTGCACTTTTAGAAAGTCAACTATTTAAACCAGGCCAGAAACAACATGGTGCACGGTGGCATCGAGAAATCAAAACAGGGTTATAACGTGAGGTAATAACAACATCAGCAGTACAGCCTAACTGAAAAAAGAAGACCCTCATATTCATCACTGGATCAGCTCTTCATTGGCCTGCTAGCAACATATCATTGTGCAGAGCATACGTTAACAGACCCTCCTTCCAGTGAAAACCTCGCCTTGTCAGAAAAGCATGTATAGATACAAAATGGTCATGCAAAACTGCTCATGCAGAGTGACAAATAATTCATAGTGTGAACTATTAATTCCAGAATACAAGGGTTTGCATAATACTTAATGTAAAGGTTAATATTTGGATCATGCAGGTTCAGTTATCTTGATGCAGGTGTTGCTGCTACTAAACAATTCCAACTAAAAATGTGAAAAAGTCACTTTATATGACAAAGATGTGACATGTTACTGATAGAATTGTATGCAGATAGATAGATAGATATTAGTAAGTCTACTGCTAGCAGGTTCTACAGCTTGTTACCTGCGTACTAGGGAGGCTCTCCCTCGCCTTAGTTGTGGGGAGAGTAGCGGTACTGAGGCAGCAGGCTGCTGACAATCTACAAGAAACTGATAAATTAGACAAATATACAAAGTGGTGACACTCGGGGTTAGACAACAGGACAGAGATAACAGGGTGGACAAGACAAGGGAAGACCTCGTCAGAGACAAAGACACTGAATTCTACTGTTACCGTGACTTTTAGGGTGAAGCACCAGGCTGATCCCGGTCAGTTTTTCTCAGTACATTACTATAGATCAATAGCACACTGGAAACCAAACTGAGTATAGCTCAAGTGACTGCCCAGTCTCATCAGGACCGGCCACTGCACAGCTAGACAATCTGTGCTGGAAGCAGAAAACACAAAACCCCCAAAGAGACAGAGACATGGACACTTTTACACACACACACACACACACACACACACACACACACACACACACACACACACACACAATATTATATTGATTTGCAAGGGCAAAAAAAGA